AATTTTTTTCTTTTATGTGAGATTTTAAAATAATTCTTTTACTTAATTATATAAATTTTATGTTTCATAATTTTTTTTTATTTGTTTGTCTCATACTTTAAATGATAACATTATCATTATGTTAATTTTATTAAATTTTAGTAATATTTATTATTAATTACGTCATTCGGTTCGACCTCGGTTTGACCGGTCGAACCGTGAACATCTCCTTCTTCCGGTTTGTTGTCCGGTCCAATTTTCAGAGCATTGAAAAAAACACATTTCAAACATATATGGTAAATAAATTATTGTGATTATTTGGCAAGCCAAAAGAGTCTTAATATTATTTTTTATAATTTCAACTTTTTCCCCCTTATGACCATGAAACCTGTGAATTTTTTTTTTATTTTGTAATCTCATTTTAACAAAAAAAAAAATGAGTGAATTGTTTTTGATTTTCTAGATTTTTTTAATGTAAATAAAAAAATCCCAATTTTATAGCTTTTCCCTCTCTAATTTTGTAATCTCATTGTAACCTGTGAGAGCTCTCTTCAACCTGCTCATGGCTAGATCGATCAGTTTTGGGCCAAATAGGAAGAACTATCATCTTCCACCTCTTCCAAGCGCCTACACCTAATGGCTTAAGCCGCTGTTCCCATTTCCTCGTTGACCCATCATGCGGAAGGTACGCCGTTAGAGTGAGTACTAAGCACTCCGCTCCTTCGACTGATTGTTCGCATCGGATCTCATGTTCTCTATTGCACTCCCCGATGGGGGTTCTTTTCACCTTTCCCTCACGGTACTTGTACGCTATCGGTCATTGAGGAAGACTTAGGCTTAGAGGGTGGTCCCCCTTTCTCGCGTAAAAGCGATCATCATTCGAACACGCCGCGTTTGACTGGGAAGGATCGAACCATGGGAAGGGAAGTCAATAACATGGAGCGTGTTGGAGAAGTGAGGAGTAAAGGGAAAGTGAGTGGGCTCAGTCAATGCATAGGGAGACATGAGGCATGTTGGATCAAAGACATGAGATGAAGGAAACATTTGGGAAGGGTGAGAACTGAGCATACATTGGTGGTTAGGAAAATGCGGGGAGAATTGGAGCATGAGCGCAAGCCCTTATAGTTAATTACCCTTCCAAGACATGGGAGAGCACTCTTAATTAACAATGAATTACTTTGATATGGTTTTAAATTTAAACTTCGTACTATATGATTTGTTGAATTAATGGGTGATGGAGGTGGATTCGATCAAGATCATATAATTCCATCATCTCAGGGTTACCAACGATCCTAGTCTACAAATGTTAACAAATCACAGGTTGCAACATCTGAGGATCAATTAGCAGTCATTCTCAAGGATCCCAAGTAGGCCAAGGTGGCTATATATAGATTTTATGTTGTTATGACTTTGATGTTGATACAATTGGAGGGGGGCGTCCAGCCCAACCATTTGATCCAGCATGGACCGAACCAGCCATCTGGCTGGGCAGAACCTGGAGCAAAGACGGGGAAAATTCAGCCCCCCTTATGGGGGCTAGCAAAGCTGTGATTATATTAGGAAGAGGAATAAGGAGGGAATTATTTAGGAAAAAAAATCCAATTTGAATTTAAGTAGAAGAGAGAATTTAATTTAAGGATGTTCCTAAAATAAGTTTAATAGTTTAGGAAGGTTTTCTAAATTAAAGTTTCCTAAATCATGTTTATTTGTTTAGGAAAGTTTCCTAAATTATGTTTAATTATTTAGGAAGGTTCTATTTATGATTTTGTGTTTTAGGGCTATTTAAGGGAGAGTTGTATAGGATTTAGAGTATGCTATTGCTGAGTTTTTTGTTTTGTTGTAGTTCTTTTCTTTGAGAGCATCCTAGCAGCGTCTATGTTATTTAGGAAAACCGATCTACCTCTCTAATCGCAAATGACTTCTATCATACTGATGCAGATTAAGCTATGGCCTTAGGAATATGTGAACTACTATGGATCAAAATGATTCTAGAAGAACTAAGGATCAAATGGGAAGGACCGATGAAGCTACACAATAACAACAAATCAACAATCAGCATCTCACTGATAGGAAACACTTGTAGATCTCAAGTATTTCATTCAATCTTCGGTAAATAGCGAGATTTCTTCATGAAAATATGCAAAAAATCACAAAAATAGTAGATAATTGATATTATTTGATGAAAGGAATGTGACAACCGGTTCATCCGGCCGGTTCACCCGAACCGGCCCACCCTTTTAATTCCGCGAACAGAACAGTTCGCGGAACAGGCAGTTCGCGCGAACAAAATAACAAGATACACTTGATCCTCAATTCGAGAGGAGGATCGATCTATCTCTAGACGCCGCTAGAGCCCAAAGAAAACCTAAATCTAATTGATCTCAAATTTCAGCTAAATTCAAGATGCACTAACCCTAGAAAAACAAAGTATTTAATGCATACAAATCAAAGGAAAACTCTAAACAGTCCCTACATTCAAATTTTTCTCTTAATCCCAACCAAAAATCCTTCCTAAAACGCTCTGCTTGGGCGGTCAGGTCGCCTGATCTCCGCAGGAGGCGGAGATCCCGCATCAATAGTGAAATGCCGGTCCCGTACGGACCGATCTAACAATACTCCCCTCCAAAGATCCGCCTTGTCCTTAAGGTGGAAATATGCTCGTGTTCCCGCGGAGGTGGCCATCCTTGAGGCAACTGAAAAATTTTATTGTATTGCTGAACCAAGGGTTGCACAGAAAGAGAAACACCCCTCCCTCCAATTTGATCGCATCCAACCTGTTTAGTCTCACTAGATAATCTTTCGCCACCTCTTGAAGTCCCCTAA